TTCCCTTCATATACTTTTTCAACCAGATGCTACTCACCAGAATGGATAATAATCATGCTGTTGGCAATTATGGGATATATATACCTTTCCACAAGTGTCTCTTCCTGCCATCTTTTTTCTTAATATATATATATATATAACATTGTTTTCAAAAAATCAAGTAAGGCAGAACAAGCTAATCTCTATTTATTTATCTTACGAAAAGCTATCTTTCTGGATAGCTCTTCAATTTGATACATACTATATTTTTCTTTTCCTCTGTGCCAGGTGAATTATATAATGAGTGCTGGCTTAGTGGTGGCAATATTCATGAGCTTCAAAAAAAAAGCATACACATCACCAACCAATCTTCCTGCACTTATAATATTGCTATTGTTATATGGGTAAGTTATCTAGATGTTTCATTAAATATGTGAAATGAAACAAATATTAAGGTACATGTTTCAATAAACCTTTTTTTTAACCATAGTACATCAGTTCTACAAAACTCTACAGTTTACCTGCTTATTTCCTAGAATAATTCAAAGTTTTCTTAATTACGTGTAAAAACATTACAGATAGTTCTCACTTAATCTTCTGCAATGGGAACCGGCAACTCTGTGCCTGTGCCCGATTTACATCAATTCTGCTGTGATCATTAAGCAAATCGCTGCAGTCATTAAGTATATATAGTCACATGACTATCATACTATCGTACTATCGTAATGGTTTTTGAACAAGGCAGTTGGTAATAATTGTGTAATTCATCATCTTCTTGCCTATCTGTGTTTATTATATAATACCCCTGCTCATGTTTCCAATGCTTTGTAGAGTTTCACAGAACTCAACTCTCTCCCCACTTCTTTTTAATCACCTTATGAAGGCTTTGGATGAGCATGGGATTAGGTATGCTGATGATACCCAGGTATACATTTCTATCCTGGATGTAAGAAATTATGCCCCCGTCTTTTTTGATTTCCCACAGCCGGACTTATAATTTAATCGACGTACCCTAGGACGGTCCTACTGGCCCTGCGCGATTCACCCCTCGCGCAGGCCTGGCCCAACAAGATCTCAAGGGCCTACCTTGAGGATGGGGTTTGGAACCCCGAGAGGTGGCATGCTGCGGGTGTTAATAGAAAATTATCTAAATTGGCCAAATTGAGGTTCTTTTTA